CTCCATCCCCCTCCGGTCGGCCCGCTACCCCTCTTACCCACCCCGCTACCCTTCCTCTCCTCCTCGGCCAGTCGTTCCGCTGCCCCCCCCCCTTGATGACCCTGCTACACCTCCCCCATCATCAATACCTTTGCTAACAACTGTGGGGGGAGAGGAGAGGAGGAAGGGGAAGGAACAACAAAGTAAGGCAGTGATGCCAGCGACAGTTTTCTTCACCTTGAATACTGCAAACTGACCCCTGGGAGGACAGAAGGCCCCTGGTACTTGCCCCGCCCGGGTGCGGGCCAGTCCTTTGTTAGTTCCTGCTATCGCGAGTTTTTATTCGGGGTTCTTTCAATGGGGCGAGGAGGCTGCCATCGTTTGAAGAACTGTGCTGCTCATTTCAGTTGACTGTTTGGCGTCGGGGAGGGAGTGAGAGGTCAAATATTCATTTATGCGCCAATTATTGGTTAGCTACTTGCTGTAGTGCAATGGTCAGCAAGGGGTTTTTCCCGTCGATCTGGGCGAACGACGATGAAATGACTGGGCTGATGTCGATGATTAAGGTAAGTTGCTTCCAGTTGATTTCTCTGGCAAAAGTTGTTCCAGCGTTGCTGGGAAAGAGCGATCTCTTCTCAGCACCACCGCAGAAATAATCAAACTCGGCGACGTAAGCTTATTGCGCCGTAGGTACAAAAATCGGCCGAGGCGTGCTTTTGCTGAATTTTTCCACTTCAGTGAGTGCTGCTATCGAGATTGAAAACAGCTAATTTGTAACGAGGAGGAGGAGGAGGAGGGCCTGTGCGACTGCGGGGAAACGCATAAACAATTCTTTATTAGTACAAGCACAAAAAAGTTACACCACGAGAAAAAAGCCCGGCAGTAGCTCCAAGTTGCCACGAGACAACTGGGAGCCAAGGAGCTCCAAGCTGCAGCCGCACAGTTTTTTTTGTGACGCAAAACAATTTCACGCTCAAATTTCTAATCTCCACATTAAATATCACGAAGAGGGAACTCGAGTCACGAGACGGAACATTTGCATATCACAGGGAACCGAAGAGCATTTGGCCAAGGCGAAGGGGATTTAGCCACCATCTTCGTTTCCTTGCTGCTAGCACTTTCTTCCTTTTGCAACAAATGGAAAATCTCTGATCAGTGGCCACATACATTGCGGAGACGATGAACACAAGTGGCGTAAATGTGATGGTTGAAAAGCTCTGGCATAGCTGCTTGTCGAAAGCTCTGTGCTAATAAACCGAGCAGTTGCTGTGAATTTTTTGTAAAGAAAGGGTCTTTTTTGTGCATATTTCTTCTGCGTCAGTAACGTGTAAATGTGTTGAAGTCGCGCGAGGTGAATCCGAATGACTACGAGCGGAAGATCGATTTCTGGTCCGACATGGTGGCGAAGTCTTGCAGCTTCGAGAGGAACCCTGTTTTCAACATCGACACGCTGAAGCGTCGCTTCCGGCGAGACGATCAGATTCCGAGTTCGCTGGATGTTGTCGTTCAGCACTTGATCCAGTAAGCTTCGTTGCCGCATCATTCATTTCACGATAAGTCCTTTTTTGTTGGGAGATCTGAGAAGCTAGAGCGCTGAAATCTTAGGAGAATGTTCCCGCCAACTAGGTATTAGTGCACTTAAACCTATCCCCCGAGTAAATGTGATGCCCGCGTACGGGCCCGCCAGAGTTTTTTTCGGGTAAGCTCATAACTCGGGGATCTGAGAAGCTAGAGCGCTGGAATTTTAGGGTAATGTTCCCCGTCCAAGTAGGTATTAAGGAGCTCAAACTTAGCCCCGGGTAAGTGTGGTACCTGCGTACGGGCCCGCCAAAATTTTTTTGGGGTAAGTTTATAACTCGGGAACTGAGAAGCTTGAAAGCTGAAATCTTACGGTGATGTTCCCCGTCCAAGCGGGTATTAGTGACCTCAAACCCAGTCCT